CCCCAAAATATTCATACATCAAAGCCCTTAACTTGCATTAGCTGAGTAGTGTGTTTATGATCAGCCTTCTTAGACTGACTCAGAGTGTCTTTATCAAGCATCGTGTCCAAGCGTCATTCCAACTGCATGCATCACATCTCCAGTGCCCCATAGCAACCCACATTGGGTTTCTGAGGCTGTAAATCTTTATGGAAGTAGATCACCCATCTTCCTTCCAGGGAGCAGCTGGTGGATTTGAACCACTAACCTACTCGATGGCTTCCTTTAACTTTCAGTCCTGGAAGGGATTTCTCTCATGGACCATGCATGACTTTCCTGTCTCAGTGCACCCAAAACCTATCTGCTAGAAATTCAAAAAGGTGAACAGTCATTTTTTTTTTCTCTGTCTCTTCAGGTCCTCTTCAAACACAAATCTTCTGTTCCCTCCCTCAGTAGTTCTGGGTGGGGCTCAGGTTTTCTAACTAAGTCCCCTATTCTCCACACACAAACAAAAGACTTTTGTTTTGAAACAAAAGCCTGTGTTTCTTCTGGGCAAATTCTATTTCCCCTTTTAACATATTCAAGGATTGGCTGAAGGCTTACTTACATGCTGTTACACATACTCCATAACCATTTCTAATGTACTAGCAGGTAAGAGAACATTCAATAGCTGTAATACATTCAGGTAAACATAATCTTTTTTAAGGCATTCCAGTTTCATCTCTTCACCTTGATTACCTTCCTATTCTATATATAGGGCCTTGGGCCTTTGGCTGGGTGTAACCAAAAGCCCAAGCCTCTAGATCAATCTTCTCCTTTAATAGGTAACACCAACCAAAGTAACCACCTAATAATTCAAATTTTCACTTCCCAGGCCTCGTCCTTCTTTCTTTTACGAAGTCCCATGCTTCTACGAGTCTTTAGCAACTATAATAAATCCCACCACTTCTGACACCAACTGCCAAGAGGGCAGGGAGGCTGCATCTTCTGACCTCCTCTAACCCCGCAAGAGGAAGACAGAATCACCGTCAGTAGCCCAAGGCCTATTCTCTGACAGGCTGCCTCCCTCCAGTCCTTTCACCAACCGTGACACCAACCGTTCCTCCCACAGTACCTACCACCTCTCTGCTGGGTTCGATAATTCGCTGCAGTGGCCACACAGAACTCACGGATTATGGGGTTTATTAGGGAAGCAACAGGCTACAATTCAAGTTCAGAAACATGCTCAGCCTCTCTCAACCTACCATCTCTCAGCCAACAGTCTCTCTCAGTCTCTCTCCCAGCAGTGCATGTCTCTTGGTGTCTCTCTTCCAGCAGTGTGTGTCTCTCGGTATCTCTCTCAGCAGTGCGTGTCTTTTCCGTGTCTCAGCTGGCCTTAAGTAAGAGATTTCTTCTGCCTCTAGGAGGGCTCTTTTGAGCCTGGCAGAGTGGCCTAACCAATTCCAACATCAGAATTCTATACATCTGAGAGAGAACTTTCCAGAAGATTGCTTCATGCCACTCTCAACAGAAATACCCCAGGTGGATGACTTTCACAATCAGGAGCTACTCAGTTGCTCATGGCAAATTCCACCACGGAGTTTACAAAGACTTATGGCTAGAAAAGCCACACTATGTAATTTACTACACAGCAGGGACTGACACCAAGAAGAGGCCCCTTGGAACTGTGGTAAATTTTAAGGGATTTGAGACACCTGTAAGAGAAGGTTGGCATCTTCTTTTCTTCATAGACAAATAAGGACCCAATATATGTTCTCTCCTAGCTGGTATGAGTCATATGTATCTTGCACTACAGTAAAGAGGACAGATAAGATGGTTCCCTGAAGATTCTGAGTCTTGAAGGTTTATCCTAAGGATTCAAAATTCCCTTAGCTCCATGCTCTGCTCCCAAGCTTCATTCTTTTTCTGCTAAGAAATCCCTTCTCAGAGGTTATTCACTCTAAAGCCACTTCCTCTCTCCATGACTTCCGCTACCCCATCACAATCTCTAGTATGTTTCACAGTACACCACAGTAAGAGAAACCAAGTTCCTAATAAACTACAATGCATATATTTTAGAGTTGTTTAAAAGGCGTTTTTCTCTGCATGGTTGGTTAGGGCCAATTTGTATGATGTAAGACCTTGGTAGGTCTTTCCAAAGGAGCTCTAGTAGCATAGTACCTAAAGCACTTGACTGCTAACCAGAAGGCTGGTGGTTCAAACCCACCAGCCACTCCTCGGAAGGAAGGTTGGGCAATCTACTTCTGTAGTGATATTGCTTCAGAAACCAAAGGAGGGGTCGCTATGAGTTGGATCCAACTTGATGGCACATAACAACCACTACCACCACCACCACAGGTCTTTCCAAAGATATAATATTACTTTACCCACTATTCAAATATCAGTGTTTTTCTTTATAAGTACAGTACTTAAGGGTCTCCTAAGCAGGCCTAAAAGGCTCTGTGGGACCCAGGCCACCAATGTGTTTATGAAATAAGCGTAGATAGAGCTCTCCAAGCACGTTCAGTGGGCTAGAACCTTGGGTGAGCTGAACACTATAACTGGGTGGGATCTGGTTCTGTGGGGTTGGAAGCTTATTAAAAAGTAGGAGTCATTTATAAAAGAATAATAAAAATTATAAATACAAAAATAGATATAAAAGTGAATATTTATTAAAATAAAAAAAAAAACTTACTCCAAATTACAAACAGCGTAGTGCCTAAGGCACTTGACTGACTGCTAACCAGAAGGCTGGAGGTTCAAACCCACCAGTAACTCCTCGGAAGGAAGGTTGGGCAATCTACTTCCATGGTGATACCACCTCGGAAACCCAAAGAGGGGTCGCTATGAGTTGGGTCTGACTCGAGGGCACATAACAACAGCAACAAGAAAGCTAATGAATACCACAAAAATCTTAAAACTAGAAAAAGAACACATTCCATTTATTTATTAACTGCCCGACACACCTCTATAGTATTTTTCTGAATTTGGTGTAATAAATTATTAGGAAAAATATACAAAATTAATCTGAAATTAAGACATTCACAGGAACGTTTCAAATGCATTTCAAAATTTCTGCTCTGTTCTATTGAGCCACATAATTGTGTATTCAGATTACTTTTATACTAACATTGACTTATTGATGAATATGTGTAGGAGTTTTGTCACTAGAACACTTGCTTCTTCAGGCATTTCACTGCGTTGGTGGCAATTTTGTGTACCATTTTGCTGGAACTAGCAGATTTTGTCAGGACAAGATGCATCAGAAACACTAAGAAGCAATCTGACAGATAGAATGCATGAAACATGTGGCTTCTAACACAGATGTCCTCACATAGTACTACTATGAGTTTATGCCAATACACACAAGATTGTGATCAATTCTATTTTGTGCAATTCAAATTAGAAGAGAAAACAATGTATGGTGTGTTTATAATTCAATATCAACTATTTTCCTTCAACATCAACTATTTTCCTAGCAAGAGAGTACTTCTGTTTTGTCTAGACCTTGAGGAGAACAAAATCCTCTGCTGACAATTTTATTTGTTTCATCTTTGGAAGACTTTTCCCACAGACTAGCTTCTGCCTCCACGTATTTCAACTCTTATTTTTCACTCTCCCACTACATACTGCCAGTAGTGGGCACTGTGGAATACATTCCCATAGCAATACAACCTCTGACACTGCACCTGCATTTCATGATACAGGGTGAGTTGGCCCAGTGGATGACAGAAATATTCTTAGAAGTCATTTCTATACCAGAACACCTGGAGATAACTTAGTCACAGAGATGACTGTCAGCTACATAAACATGTCTCACTAAGCCCAAATTGAATATTTTCCCAACTCAACTTCCTTCTTGCTGGATCCCCAGAATACCCATAGCTGCTTAATATCACCCAACCAGCAACGGAGCTCTGGTAGCATAGTGGCTAAAGCACTTGACTGCTAACCAGAAGGCTGGTGGTTCAAACCCACCAGCCACTCCTTGGAAGGAAGGTTGGGCAATCCTACTTCTGTAGTGATACTGCCTCAGAAACCCAAGGACTACGAGTTGGGGCCGACTTGACGGCACATGACAACAACAACGAGGGGATATGAGATGGAGGAGAAGTCATAATGGAAAGAGATAGGAGTCTTAACAATATGTTTAAAATATCTTATTTTCACATACCAAAAAAAAAAAAAAAATGGCCATAGCAATATATTATTAGGGTCCCTCCCAGGAAGGAGAGGGGCCCTGAAACTTCAACAGCTTCACAGAAAATATGTCCCTATCCTAGAACCATGAGAAGGTAAGATGGGGGGGGGGCACTAGGAGATCCCTAAGACTGTTGACATTATCTGTGACCTGAGTCAAAACTCACTAGGCTTGGAAACATGAACCAAGGTTAAAGTCCAAACTCGGTCCCTCCACTTCCCTGGCTTCAAGAGCCTCTCTACAAAACTGAGATGATGGCACTGATCTCTCAGGATAGTTCTGAGGTTTAAAGAGGTGGATTTGTTACAATTCTTGGTAAACAAAAGTCAGCTGTTATCCTCTGACCAGCATCACAGCATCGTCCTCCTTTTGGGTCCAGAGGGTTGTTCTGTAGGAAGAGGTCTGTTTCTTTAAAGCAGAAGGGTGTGCTCTGACCCCTAATGGAATCAACTGAGCCCTATCTTCTGAAATCAGGGTAATCCTGCTGAGGTCACGCTCCCCCCATCCCCTCCTCTCTGCTGTCAGGCAGGGGATTAGAGGAGTGGCCAATGGATTAAAGGGGTTCATTTTATTACACTCTTTCCCATTGGACTCGTCAGCCCCTCTCCAGGAAGCCTGGGCATCTCCTCTGCTCACCGCGGCTGCAGAGAAGAGAGAGAGGCCCCTTGCCCACTACGCATCCCAGCCAGGGCCTGACTGGAAGAAAGGCAGAATGTGGAAGGCAGAAGACTTGAGGATGTCTTAAGGGTCCTGGCTGACTAGCATACACAGCTCATTCCTCTCCCACCACCCTGATCCCAGTACGAGCACCATGCCTGGACTCTCCAAGTTCCATTCAAACCCCAGCTCCACCTACAGTGGTATTCCCTGCCCTCCATGGTCAATGGCCTGGGCCTTCCTGCGGAAGACAGTGGTCATCCTGTGGCTGCTGCTGCTCTCCTGCCTGTCCCTGCCTCCCACATGGGCTCAGACCAAGATTCCTCCGGAAATGTAAGCATCAAGTTCAGCCCTAACCCCATAAAACCATTTTGTTCTCTCCTCCTTCCTTCCCTCTGGCTTCCTTAAGTCATTGCCTCCTCCATTCCCTCCCACCTCTGAACCCCCACCTCTGGGCTCTTCCCTAGGGGTTTTGACTACCCAGTTCTTCCTTTCTTGCTGCAAAAACCTCTTCTTCATCTTTCCCTGACACCAGCATCCTCTTTCTCCTCTTCGCTCAAAGCTCTGCCCAGTGTTGAGTTCCATCTGCCCCCTCCCCAGAAGCCTGAAGCTTCAGCAGACTGGTCTTCTAAATTCACTCTCCTCATTGGGATGGCAGGCAGCACCTCGAACACCTGCGGCGCGGATGATTCTCAACATAACTGCTGTGATTAGGCAACTTGGAGTTGAGCAGCTCAGTTTCCCCAAAGGATTGGTTAGGTAATTTGTATTTTGACATTCCAGAAAGATACAGCAGATCAAAAACAAGAGAATGGCTCCTGCAGACAGGAGGTGGCTTGTTTAGGAACTAAGTAAATTTGGACTTTGAGGTCCCAGGCTTTCTATGCCCTTCTGCCTCCTGCAGGACCCAGTTCTACAGCCTGTCAATAAATCCAGCTCTAGGACTTAATCTGGTGTCGGTCATTTACATAATTTACTGTGCAACATCTCTGGGAGTATTTTTATTTAGTTAGTTTTTAAGTTGAGGGGAAATTCACAAAACATAAAATTAACTATTTTAAAGCGAGCAATTCAGTGGCATTTTGTACATTCACAGTGTTGTGCAACCACCACCTCTGTCTATTCTAAACGTTTGTATCACTTTAAAACCCCATACTGATTAAGCAGTTCCTCCTCACCTCAGTCCCTGGCAACCACCATCTGTTTTCTGTTTCTATGGATTTACCTACTATGGAGATTTTGTATACATGGAATTATACAATATGTGACCTTCTTTCACTTACAGTATAATGTTTTTGTTTGTTTGTTTGTTTACTTTTATTGTGGTAAAAACTTACACAATAAGACATTTGCCAAATACAACTTCCACATTTATGGCTCAGGGACATTGATGACATTTTCAAGTTGTGCCACCATTATTGCTATCTTTTCCAAAACATTCCACTACCTATTAGCATAAACGCAATGCTTCCCCAAACAAAAGTTTCCTTCCACCTTCCCCCTTCCTCCTACTCCTGGTAACCACTAATAATCTTCTATTTCTCTCTCTCTTTTTTTTTCCTCAACCTATCTACAAATTTTCTTTCCCCTCTCCTCCCATCCCTGGTAACCAAAAAAGAAAATTTCCTTTTATGTATAAACCTTTCCTTGACTTTTACAATAGCAGATTAATATAATATTTGTCCTTCTGTGATTGACATATTTCACTCACCATAATGTCCTCCAAGTTCATCCACGTTATGCAGTGTTTTGCAGATTCTACATTATTCTTTACGGTTGCATAATATTCCATTGTGTGTAAGTACCACAGTTTGTTTATCCATTCCTTGGTTGACAGGCACAAAGGTTGTTTCCATCTCTTTGCTATTGTAACTAGTGCTGCAGTGAACGTGGGTGTGCATGTATCTATTCGTGTCCTGCCTGTCACTTCTTTAGGATATATACCTAGTAGTAATGGGATTGCTGGGTCAATTTCTATCTCCAAATTTTTAAGGAATCTCCATACTGATTTCCACAGTAGTTGTTATCTTTTACAGTCCCACCATCAGTGTATAAGAGTCCCAATCTCTCCACATCTTCGCCAACATTTGTTATTTTCTGCCTTGTTGAACTTTGCTATTAATTCTGGAGTGAGATGGTATCTCATGGCTACTTTGATTTGCATCTCTCTAATGGTTAATGATCATGAACATTTCTTCATGTGTTTGTTGGCTGCCTGAATATGTTCTTTGGAGAAGTGTCTTCATATCTTCTGCCCATTTTTTTAATTGGATTGTTTGTCTTTTTGATGTTGAGGTGTTGGAGTTTTCTATAAATTTTAGGGATAAGTCCTTTGTCCAATATGTCACTGCCAAGTATTTTTCCCATTCTGTAGATTCTCTTATTACCCTTTTGGAGAAGTCTTTTGATGCATATAAGAATTTAATTTTTAGAAGGTCCCAATCATCTGGTTTATCTTCTGCTGTTTGTGCATCTTGGGTTATACTTGACAGTCTATCTATACCATAAATTAGGGCCCCTAAGTTTGCCCCTATTTTTTCTTTTATGAACTTTATAGTTTTAGGTTTCACATTTAAGTCTTTGATCCATCTGGAATTAATTTTTGTGCATGTTGTGAGGTATGGATCTTGTTTCAATTTTCTGCAGATGGATATCCAGCTTTGCCAGTACCATTTATGAAAGAGACCATCTCTTCCCCATTGAATGGATTTTGCCCCTTTGTGAAAGATCAACTGACCATAGACTGGTGAATTTATTTTTGGGTCCTCAGTTCTGTTCCACTGGTCTATGTGTCTGTCATTGTACCAATACCAGGCTGTTTTGGCAACTGTGGCTGTGTAGTATGTTTTGAGATCTGGGAGTGTGAGACTTCCTACTCTGTTCTTCAATAGTGCTTTGCTTATCTAAGGTTTCTTTCTTTCCATATAAAACTGTTGTTGTTGTTGTTATTTGCCGTCGAGTCAGCCCCGACTCATAGCGACCCCTCCTTGGGTTTCCGAGGCAGTATCACTACGGAAGTAGGATTGCCCAACCTTCCTTCC